GGGATGGGATGGGGAGGACCACAAGGGGAGCAGGCAGGGTTCCTCACCTATCCTTGCTTGTTCCAGAGCCACAAGAGACAGACTCACTGGTGAGGAAGAGCGAGGGACCGATGGGGGCTCATGTTGTCGGCCGCCTGGACACATATCAAGCCCTGGAGCAGCACATCGTGGAGGGGAAGGCCCTGGCCCGTGAGCTGATGTGTCTCACTCGCCCGGCGCTTGGACTGCCCAACTGCCAGCTCGCAGGAAAGGAGGTAAAGTGTGGGCAGGACAGGGCTGGCAGCACCCAGGGGCCAGACCTTTGTGCACCATGTGTGACACATCTCCTGAGCCCAGAATCAGCCCTGAGGCCTGCAGGGCTGGCAGGAGGCATGGAGCCTCCAGCCTGGGGGCTGCTGCTGGCACTGCCCTGCCACATTGGGCTGGGCACGGCGAGTCCCCAGGTGTAGCAGGATGTGGGTGCCCCAGCAGCACCTGCTCCCGCACCCTTCTCCCACAGGCTCTGGGATGGGCAGGGACAGGGCAGGGGCACCTGTGGGGCAGTGCCAGCACCCTGCACAGCATCCTGGAAGAGTGTGTGTCTCTCCTCACTGCCTTCTGGAGCACCATGCTGCCTGTCAACCTCGCCCAGCACCAGGGCAAAGTGAGCAGGGGCTGGGGACTGGCAGGGCGGTGGGGCTGGGTGCTCACTGCTAATGACACTCCTCTCCGTGCTCCCAGGAGCAGGCACTACAGGGTGAGATTGCAGCGCTGCGGGCCCGGCTCTCTGAGAGGGAGGATGCTCTGCAGAGCACGGCCAAGCGGCTGCGCAGCACAGCACAGCTCAAGGACAGCATGGAGCACTTCATCGTCAGCCAGCGTACGTGGCCCCGGTGGCACAGCCAAGCTGGCCTGGTCCCCAAGTAGCTGGGGTGGTTCCACAGCACAAGGGCCTCACTGACCCCATCTCTCTGTCTCCCCTGCAGTGACCAGGACCCACAACGTGCTGCGCAAGGCCAGGACGAACCTGGAGGTGAGTTTGCCCTGGCAGCCAGTGTGGGTGCAGTAGTGTGTTGGGGGGGGGGCACATATTTTTGTTGTCTATCCGCAGCCTGTGTGTCCATGTCCCCAGGGCACAGCAACTCTCCCTCTTACTGCCATGTGTGGTCTCTTGCCAGGTGAAGGCCCAGCAGGCCCTGCCTGTTGCTTGAGCCTCAGGCAGGGCAGGGAGCGATGGCCCAGCATGGAACAGCCGGCTGGCTGCTGAGTCGTGCCATGCCAGAGGGCTGGAGCAGACTCTGTCCCTGCTACTCGGAGCGCTGGGGTGGACAGGGGTCTGGGGTGTGCTACACTATCATTGGGTTTGGGCTGCTGTGGTGGTTGCATGCCATTCACCAGCCTTTGCTTGGCATTGCAGCAGGAGCTGCTGGCTTGGACTTTGCCTGCCCCATGCTTCAGTGCTCGCCCCCTTCCACCCTTGGTGCTCAGTGGGGTGACAGAGCCCTCCGCACTGAGCACCCCTCGCCCTGGGACCTGGTCCCACCTGTAACCCTGCTGAGTACCCGTCCCTGCTCATGGATGTATGTATATGTATATAGACAGAGGTATCGGAACTGCGTTTTGGGGGCTTCCCAGGCATGTTGGGGCCCCAGCGCGGGAGGAAGATGTAAGAAATGCCATATTCTGTTCAGTGGCTGAAGAGTCCCCAATAAAGGTTACCTTTGGGTTGTGGTGTTTCTGGCACGCCCGTCTCTGCAGCAGTGCTCCCCCTCCCCAACCCATCTGCAGCACAAGGTGCCAAAGGCACCAGCTGGCCCCAAGGGGGTGGCTCTGTGCCCCACCCCACCACCGCTAGGGTAGCTCTGTGCCCCACTGGGTGTTGCCTTTCCTCCTCTTGCTGTTCCAGAGCCCCCCTCCAACACCAGGCAAGCAGCACCGAGAACAATAAATACTGTAATAAATAGAGAAATGCCTGTCCCATGGCACTGCTGCGGCAGCAGGCGGTGCAGACAGGGTCCTGGGGTGCCCGCCTGGCTCTGCTCGCCCCAGGCCCCTTCAGCGTGGGCATGTGCCAGTGCCCCTCTGGCTATGATGAAGCCAGCCCTGTCCCATAGAAGCACTCAGAGTTGGGGACAGAGCAGTCAGTCCTCGATGGTGCTGTCCCAGTGGCAGGTAAGCGTGGCTGTGTCCAGCTCTTGTACCTTCCACCCTGCTGGCTCGACACTGAACCTGGCAGGGGGCTGGAGCTCCAGAGCTGAGAGCCCTCCCCAAAGCTGGGGGACAGCCCCACAGCCAGAGCTGTGGGACAGGGGGCAGGTAGCAGGCTAGAGTGTCACAGAGCCCCTAGTGATCAAGGTGGCCTTTGGAAACTCAAGACCAAGACACCAGAGCAACCTTCAGCAGGTAGGACACATTCCTGGACGCCCGGGCTGGGGGTAGTGCTAGGATCACCTTGAGGCCCTTGCAGGCTGGAGAAGACAGTCAGGGTGAAGCCCTTTCCGTGTTGGGCGTGAGGAAAGGCTGTTCTGGTGAGCAGCAAAGTGGTCCCAGAGACTCACAGAAGCCTAGGGGAGCTGCAGGTGGGCAGAAACCAAGGGCTAAATCGAACCACACCAGTAGGATGAGACAGTGTCACAGGCCCCAGCGGCTCTGGGCTCATTGCCAGGGCCTGTGTCCCTGCCAGGTTTGAGGCTGGAGCCAGCACCCAGTTCTCACACAGTCCTGTGGCCCAGTGTGTGCAGACAAAGCAGCGTTTCGTGTCCTGCGTGGGGGGTGGGCGAGGCTCTGGCTCAGATGGGCTTGTACAGCAGCGTGGTGACGTACTTCTTCTTGTAGCGGTGCGTGGCACTGAGCACCATCACGCCGTCCTGCGAGAGGCACAGCGTCAGCGGGGGGACTGCGGCACTCCCAGGGCAGCCCTTGGGAGGAGGGCTCTGGGGGCTCAGGGAGCTTCCTCAGCCCACCCCTGCTGTCCCAAGTCTCACAGCCTGTGAGACATATCCAATACAGGATGCCAGGGCAGAGGATCTGGTATGGGGCTGCTCAGCTCCACCACAGTGCAGGGAGGCAGATGAAGGGAATTGTAATGAAGCCACAACCTCCACCCCTGCATGTGCCACGCTTCAGTGGGCAGCCATGCTGCCTTTAGCGGGTCCTCTGGTCCCACCATCCACCCCCCAGCTGTCCGGGTTCTGCTCCCTGCAGGTGCTGCAGGCTCCCAGAAACCACAGCAGCTCCCATTCCCTCACCCAGCAGCCAAGTGGGACCCACGCTTACCTTGATGGAGAGCGCGTAGAGGTGATTGAGCATGACGTGGTTGGGTTCGGGCAGCAGTGCTGGGTCACACTAGGAGGAGACAAATGTCACAAGGGAACAGCGGAGCCCTGATCTCCCAGCCCTAGCCAGCACGGAGCTGCTGTCTCAGGCAGTTTGAGCTTGCTGGTGTCTGAACAGGAACAGAGCTCAGCTAAGCACCAGGAGGCCAAATCAGTGTGGCTAATGGGAAAAGTGATGCTTTTCCTAGGAAATGGCAAGGGCCAGGCCCCAGCCAAGGGGAGATCAGGCTCCCTGCAGACAGGACTCCCCTCTCACTCCCAGTGTGGCTTTCTGTGTGGGCAGAATGCAGGTACACACCGAGATATTGGTGTCCTTGTTCAGGATGACCTGGAGGAGATGAGGTGGGAGGATGGGTGGGGATTTGAAGCGCTCCTCGGGCCGGTATACGTACATCTCTTGGCCATAAGGTCCAGGTGGTGAGCTTGATAAGTCTGGAGAGAAGAGAAAGGAGGAGACATGAAATGGGTAAAGCAGAATAGGAAAGCACAGAACAGTATCCCAGAAGCTGAGAAGGACCCAGCAGGATCTTTCAGGCACAAATATCTTCCACAAGATATCTTCCACAAGCTATGGCCAGGTATCTATCCTTTAGCAACAGTTCAGCCTTTTCACAGCAGAAAAAGCAGCCAGGTGAGCCTGGGGCACTTCCAAGCAGGGCTGTAAGCTGGTACATGCATTGACACAACACAAGCACCCTGTGGTATCCACCACAAGAACTCTGCACGTGTTCTCAGCACAGCCAGGTCCCTCTCCCACAGGAAGCAGCTGGCTTGCCCCAGGGCTGTACCCTTGGCAGCAGGGACACAGGGATCAGTTTGCCTGCATGCTCTTGGTACTGCAGGACTGCCTGATGAGGGGGTCCAGGAAAAGCAAATGGGAACTCTAGACTGAGCAGCTGCTCCACACATGGGAGGGACCACAGGAGATTTTAATCACTGGAAGCTGGACTGGCCCCATCTCCCAGCTATATCTGATCTGATAATTTTGGAACAGCCAGCACCCAGAAGGGCTCCACCTCTCTGAGCTGCTGCTGCCTGCTGGCTTCTCTCCAGCAAAGTGCCTCTTGCCCAGGCTGGGAAAGGACATGGAGCTGAGCTGTATCTGAGATGGGGTCATACCAGGGACCAACACACGACTGAGCTGCCTGCCAGCATTACACACCAAGCCAGCACTGCTGGTGCCTGCGTGGTAACCTAACCTGCTGCTGTAACACAAGCAGAGGGGGAGGTCTGCAATGTGCTACCACTAGTACAAACTACCTTGGCATGTAAACCAAGAGTAGCTGCTGAAAATAACCTGGATCCTGCTCTCACCTAGCTTGTACCCCGGATCAGATGACTTACAGTTGCTCAGACAGAAAGGGCTGATGTTCCCAGCGTTCACCAGTCCAAAACGTCTCCCTCAGCCGCGCACGGGCACTGGCTCTGCTCCGGCGCTAGCACAGAACAAGTTACACCAGCACAGCCCCTCCAGAGAAACCAGGCCTTAGCCGTGGGCTGCTGCCAAACACTACTCATACTGAGTGCAGGCCCACACCTCCGCTCAGGGGGTCTGTTCACCCCAGAGCAGCGAGTCTCAAAGCAGAGGAGGTGGAAAATAGCACATGCAAAGCTGTAATGCCACAAAACTCACCCCGACCTGAGGTTTCTGAGCTCTCCAGGGAATCCACCTTCAATGCATCAAACACCTCGAAGTCAGACTTCTTGACGTGGATTAGGTTGTTAATCGTCCCCATCTGGCTGGTGACCACGGGCTGGAGAGAACTGAGGTAAGAATCTTCCTGTGTTCACCTCCAAATGAAGCACACTCAATGCTTCCCAGATCCTCCCAGCCCAAGCTGTCTTTGCTGCACCACTACCTCAGAGCACAGGTGGCTGGTGTCTATCTCTGTTCTATGCTTGTTTATCCTGGGAGGATTTCCCTTTGCTCCTAGGCTCCTACATCACCTCCTATTTTCATCCTCCATCCTGTTACACGGGTGTGTTCTCCTTCCCATGCTGCTACCGCATGATTCAGTTTGGAGAACCTGCAAGTGAGCGATGACCCCACGGCCCATCTTCCCCTGTAGACAAATTCTCAATGGGATTTAAAGGCCTTCTGGCATTTCCCTGCCCCTCCCCAATGCTTCCCCATAAAGCATGACTAAGTCCAGAGGAACCAGCCTCTGAGAGGACTCAGGGGAGGGAGGTGCCCCTTTTGTTTTGGCAGAGGACCTCCTTTTCTTCCTGTTCCCTCTCTGTTGCAGTTACATCCTGTCTAGTTCCCTGAAGAAAAGATCTGCAGGGATAAAGCATTGAGCATTACCTCAGATGGGTCATGGACCCACTGGCCATCCACAAAAAATTTGTACTGGTGCTCTCCTTCTGGGAGATCCAGGATAGCAACGAAGTCGTTGTGGCTGTGCAGAAAGAAAAGATGTGCAACAACATCGCCCTGTTGATGCTCTGGATGCTGCACTTCCACGGGGCCCCAGGAATCAGCACTGCCCAGGCCCTCTACCCCAACACCTTCATGTAGGGTTAGGCTTGCTCATCATCCGTGACCTGAGGCATGGCCACAACAGGCACGAGCATTCCAAGCAGTAGCATGGCTCAAAGCCCTGGGAGCCCAGCTGCAAGGAGAGCAGGAGGCAGTCCAGCCCTCCAAGCCCAGAGAAGGTGGACGTGACAGACACCCTGTGCAAGAAACACCGGGGAGGATGCATGGGCAAAGCTCCTGGCCCTGTGCTGGCATGGCAGGACAGGAGCAAGTGAGGCAGCTGTGAAGTCTGCAATTCCAGAAGAATTACTAGGAGTCCTACACAGAGCTTTCATGTAAATCACAGACATGCTGCAGAACAGCAAGACATGTGAAGGACAACCAACCAACCCCCACTGACAGCAATACAACTAGGCATGGGGTAAAGCCGCAGCCAAGGGAAGAGCTGGCAGCTTCCAGAGGGCTGCTGCATACTTGGGCAGGGCTCTGCTGCCAGGACTGGCTCCTGCATGCCATATAGCTGGGCAAGCACAGTGGCCTATCCTGTCCTGTCCCTCTGTTTCACAACTTCCCACAGTCCCTGTAGGACCATCAGGGAAGGAGCTGCCTATGTATTTGTGCTCAGACGCCCAGCTTGGATGAACAGGAAAAGCCAGGTGAGCAAAGGGAACAGCGACCAGCACAGAGAAGGGAAAAAACATTCCTTGCAATGGAGCAGAGGAGAACATAGAGTGACCTGAAGGACTGGCTACCTCTTGATGAGTGGGATCTTAGTGCTCCAGTTGTTGAAGGATCCAGAGATGAAGACCTCTTTGCCTCCATCGGCCCAGCGGATGACAGTTGGTCGAGCCTGTTGGGATGGTTTCACCGACTCCTCTAGATCTGGCTGCCACGACACAAACTCCTTGTCCCCAGGAATCTGAGCAAAGAAAACCAGAGCCTAAGACATGAAGACAACCATGAATACATTCACTCCCCCCTGGCCTCTACCTCTACCACACCTTCACAACCCAGACAGGAGCACTGCAGAGCTCCTCTAGCCTCCCAGCTCCCCACAAACCCCTCTCAAGGCTGGGAGCACAGCCCCCCAGAGCCAGTGAGCTGAAGCTCCAGAGCGGAGGTAGGGAAGGGAGTGGCCAGCCCCTACCTTGGAGTCATGGGAGCTGAAAACGCTGGGGTCATCAGTGCTGCCCACCATGATCTTGTGCGGGTGCTCCTTGGTGGGGTGGGAGGCACTGGAGCCGTCCGAGCGGTGGGACTTGGAGCCATGGCGCTCCCCGGACACTCGCTCGCTGGTGGTGTTCCCCATGACAGCTCAGCAGCCCCTGTGAGGGAGAGAGAACAACACTGTACCTGTGCACATGGGCTCTGGCAGCAAGGAGAGGAGCAAAGGTGCCGTTTCCCAATGCTCTTTGCCAGAGAAGATGGACAGTAATCCTAAAAAAGGCCCCAAGTTCATTCCCACAACCAAGGTTGGAAGCTGAATGCTCAATAAACAAGACAGCCCAACTTAATTATAGCTGTATCCTTAAGAACCATCACTGTAGTTTAGCTGGTAATTGTTAAGACTCCAAAACCAATATTAGTTCACCTGTGTCCAACATCAGCCCTCGGCAGCCATCAGAATTGAGGGGTTGATGGGAAAAATAAAGCCAACCTTTATTGGCAAATCATTGCTTAGCGTTAACAGAGCCTCTTTCACAGTCCCACAGTCAGGCTCCACAGACAAATCCCCTACATCCAGCCAGAAAACAAACAGAGAGTGAAAGTAGCAGCTGTTTTACAGCTCCCAACAAGTCTCCAAGAGCTCACAGGCAGAAGAGCAGAGCCTTGCGCCTGGCAAAGATGACAGGGAGCATTTAAAGTGCCCGAGTGGAATTGCCCAAGCTGGAGCTTGTCCAAGGAGTGGGGCTAATGCTGCGCTGTCTGCAAAAAGCTCAGCTCTCAGCAGCATTTACTTATGATTCACCAGGCAAGCCACTGTGTCAGCTGCAGCACAGCACAGCCAGGAGGTCCACTTGTTGTGACTGAACCAGCAGCACCACCCCTAGCACTCTGGCATCTGCCAGGCTCTCTGGAGGTACACAGTGAGGGAAGGGCAGCCCCAGCCACCTCAGCGTCCCTCTGCAGCTGGAGATGGGCTGCCATCCCCAGTCTCACCCAGCTCAGAGAAAGCAAAACAGGACAACTGACCAAGCCACAAACAACCACACATCTCTCGGGACAAACAACAAAGCCACCGCAAGCTACACAGGATTCTTCAGGCCTTACCCAGTTCTCAGGAGCTAAGATGGATTGGGGCTCTTGCCTGCTTCTCAGGCTCATTTTGCAGCTTTCAGCTTACCGTGGCCTCTGTGGAGCAAGGCAAGGGCACAGCCAGCCTTGCTTCATGTGCTCACTTGTGACATTTGGAGGTTTGTTTAGAAGATCAAGTTATATGAAGGGTGCCAGGCGAGGCTGCCAGCCAAAGCCAGGCTTTAGAATATTATGAAGCAATTACTAAAGTATTTCTTAAATCCTGAGGGCTAAAAGGCAGCTCAAGAGGGCAGCTAACCCATATCTCCACCCTTCTCAGTGCAGATCAAGTGTATCTGATGATCCGGGTCAGGTGAGCTGCACCTCTTGCTCTGACATATTCCCCCTCTGCTCTGAGGAGGCTCAGCCAGCTCCTCACAAAAACTGCCCCTGTGCCACTAACCTGTTGTTGAGGAGTTTCCTCCCCAGTACCTCCGCTAAGGATCCCTTACTTCTTATCTACAGGGAGGAAGGCAGGAAAGGCTGAACATCCTCTTGTACCAGGACAGACCTGAGAGATACATGCAGGTGTTAACAGATGTGAAACTTCCGTTTCTCTTCTCTAAAAGGAATCCAATCCTTCTGTCCCTTACAGGTTACGCTCTCCAAACACCTCCTGAGGTTTATCCCAACCGGTGGCTCCTTTCTGGTGTGTGCCATCCGAATCCCCTGCATCGAACACACAGGCACCCTGCTTGTGCTGGGACAGCAGCCTGTGGTACCTGGCTTTGCTGAATTAACTTCTACAGCTCAAACCCTCCTAATAGCTGCATCCAGACCTTGTAGCACGGCACGCTGTGATGGTGTGTGTGACACAGGTACGTCCGAGTCACAGATGGAAGCGCTGCCCACACCACAGCCCAAGCAAAGCTCCGCGGCGTCTCGGCGCATCGGCTCCCAGTCTGGCAGCGAGCCCCCGCCAGCCGCAGCCGCAGCGAGGTGTGTGCCTGCCTGCCCCATGGCAAGGCCCCTTCGGCTCCAGCCAGCCCCACCTCCCCACTCTGAAAATGACAAGTGAAATACACCAATTCCCCCCGGGATCTGTCGCGCTCGCTGCCTCTCCCACCCGGCCGGTGCCCCGCGCTGGGAAGCACTGTCCGGCACCCGCGGGGTCTGTGCACAGGGACGGAGGTCTCTGCCATGGCACCTCCCGGGGCTGGCGTGGCCCGGGGAAGCCCGATCCGCCCGGGCTCTCCCTCCTCCTCCTCCTGAGGTTGTCGTAAGGTTAAGGGGATGAGCTGGGAAAGCGGGGGAGGAAAATCTCCCTCCGAGCAGGCAGGGCTGGGGCGGGGGCAGCCACGGCGGGCTCGGCCAAACCACCCGCGGCTCTGCCGTGGCCCACGGGAGGAGCGGGACGCACCGGCAGGGACGGGGCCCTTCCGAGGGGCTGCGAGCCGCGGTCTGCACCGGTGCGGGCTCCGGGACACCGCCACACCGCGCGGCCACGCCTCGCTCACCGCCTGCCGCGGCGGCGCCAGGCCAGCCGCCACCTTCACCGCCACCCACCCGGGACACCCCGCCGCCCGCGGCCCCGGCCCGGCCCGACCCCACCTGCCGCCGCCGCCGCCCCGCTCTCCGCCTCTGTCCAAGATGGCGCCACCCCCCGCCGGCCGCTGCGGGGCGCTCTGGCCCGCCCCCGCCCCGCTCCGCGGCCGCGCCCCGCCCCGGACCCGCGGCCCCGCCGCCGGGCACCCGCCATGTTTGGTGAGGGCGGCTCGGCCCGTTGTTGTTAATGGCGCGCGGGGGGTCGCACGGCTTCACCCCCGCCGGCGGCCATGTCTGCTGAGGGCAGGGCGGTGCCGGGGATGTTTGGGGGGCTGCGGGCAGCAAGCGGGTAGGGTGCTGCCCGTGGGCTGGGCAGACGCCTCAGGATAGGCCCCACAGACTGAGACAGCCAAGCAGTGTGGCCCGTGGTCCCCTCGGCACGGAGACAAGCTTTATTGTCCTTTTCCTGAGGCACGTTCCCAGTTTCCCCACCACCTCAGTGTGACCTAACGCACAGACAGAGCTTGTGGTGCTGCCGGGCCAGGATTTAGGGGAGGGAAGTGACTCCCGTCCTCAGAGCAGCCCGTGACCAGGACTTGCGTATCTGGCACAGCAGGAAGGCGGGACAGACCCGGCTGCACCTTCAAGGAAGGACTCCCTCCGTGCCTCCGGGCGTGGCGGCACACCTAGCAAGGAGCAACAGACACAAGCACAAAGGAAAAGATTGCCGGGAGGACCCGCTGTCTCCTTCATTTTAGGCTAAGGAGAGCGCGAGCCGTAGACGAGGATGGCCGCAATCACGCCGATGATGCTGAAGAGGACCTTGAGGATGCGGAGCAGGGCGCTGGGGCGGGCCCTGCCTCGGGGCTGCAGGGCTCTGACCACACGCTGCCGCTGGGTCAGGATGGCCTCCCTGGCACCCGCCCACGCACCCGGGCCCCGCAGCCGGTACTGGTACGGCGTGCAGGGACCGAAGGCCACCTCCAGAGCCAGCCTGGGGTCCGTGAGGAAGAGGGTGAGCAGGTTGGGCTTGACCCCCAGCTGGCAGGCGAGCTCGTCCATGTAGGGGATGTAATCCACCTGGATGGTGTGCCGCTGGCTCTTCACGTACCTGTGGGCAGGGAGGAAGGGGAGGCAGGTTTGGCACATGAGCACGGGGGGGAGGGTGGCAGAGGTGATGCTGTGCAGGGTCCTTACCGCTTGGCCATTTGGTCCTTGGTCTCTGTGATCTCAGCCAGCATGTTGGCACGTGGTGGCAGGTCCTGCAGCCCTGTGGAAGAGGAGGCTGTAGCTGGAGGGAGGTCTGTGCTCCCACCACCGTCTGGATGGCTCAGCCAGGCCTCTGCTTGCACATGGAAGCCTTTGGGGCTTTGGGGAAGTGCCACCAGCTCAAGAGCAAAGTGGGAGGCATGGGCAAAGAAAGTAATGGTAGGAAAGGAAAGGGAGAAGGTGGTTTGCAGGCAACAGGTCCTGTTAGCGGCTCTCACAAGAGATGATCAGTGCAAGAGTTGTTGCAAAATACAATGCTGGTTTTTGTCCTCATGAAGAAGCAAAAGGATGATTAAACGGTGAGTGTGGGAAGACAGCATGTGAGGGGAGGCCACCAGCTGAACACCTCAGTCTTGATGTAGCTAGAGAAACCTGGCTGCATCCCCCCAAACTGCCTGATTTACCCTTGAAGACTTGCGTGGCCCAGCGACTCTGGAGCTCAGAGATGGGCATGATGGCACCCAGGGGCTGAATGAGGCCGATGAAAGCCAGTGTTGGCTTCTCCAGATCAGGGGGGAACACGAATTTGTAGAGGGAGACCTGGTTCTGCACCACCTTCACACACCCCTCAAGGAATGGGAAGGAGAAGCTGTATCCCGTGGCAAAGACCACAGCGTCAGTGTCTTCCCTGGTGCCGTCCTCAAAGATCACAGATGTCTCTGTGAACTCCTGGATATTTGGCTTCACCCGCACCCTGCCTGAAATGATGCGGTTGGGCAGGTCGTCGTTGACGGTCGGGTGCTGGTCAAAGATCCTGGAAGGCACGGACAGACCTTGTATGGGCCTGGGCAGTAGGATGGGCATTGCTGGGACAGGTACCCAGGCCAGGTACCTGCCAGGGCACTCACCTGTGCTGGGGCTTTAGGCCATAGAGTGTGTGGTCAAAGCGGGCATTCAGCTTCCTCTCCATGAAAAAATTGGTGATGTTTTGAGGCAGCAGGCTCGTGCAGAGCTGCCCGAAGCGGTTGAGGTAACTGAAGTCAAAGGGGTACCCTCTGTCCGCCACCCGGTGTAGCACCCAGGTCCCACGCTTGGTGCTGAGAAAAACCTGGGAGAAAGGAGAAGAGCGGTGGCAGCATGGCAGCATCCTGAGACCAGGCTGGACCATTGCCATGTTCCAAGGACAGGGATGCCAGCACAGCTGCTGGGACCACAGTAGACACCTCCACCAAGAGGGGATGTGGTGCTTGTGGCTGAGTGCTGGAGGGAGGGGAGCCTGCAGCGGGTGGGGGGGATGATCGGTGCTCTCTGGGGTCTGAATAATAAGCACCCCATCCCTCTTGGCTCTCCCAGCAGACCTGTTTGGCTGTGTGGCTCAGCTCCACTGCGATATCGATGCCTGAATTCCCGGTGCCAACCACGACCACCCGCTTTCCTGAAAAGGGTTGTGGGCTCTTGTAGTCCCGGCTGTGCAGGTACGAGCCCTCAAACTTTTCCAGCCCTGGAAGAGAGAGGGAAGCCATGCTGGGCTGGGATGTGGGGTAGGAGGGTGGCTGCCCCCTGATCAGACTGGTAGTGTATTTTGGGAACAGGCTGGGACCAGCCCTGGGGTAGTGCCCAGAAAGGTGGTGGCATCTCCAGCCTGGGAGATTCTCAGTGTGGCCCTGAGAATCCTACTCTGGCTTTGGGTCTAGCCTGACTTGGAGCAGGGCTTGGACTGAATACCTCTGTGCTCCCATACCAAAATCCTCCTGCAGTTCCTGTCTGGTGCTATGCACTGAGGGTAGAGGAGCAGCTGGGGTTTGTACCATATCACCAGACCCTGGTGATGGTGTCCTCCAGCCTGTTCCCCAACCAAAGAGGGTCTCCACAGCTGAAAGCCCTCCAGGCATTTTTGCCTGTCTCCCAAAGGAGAAGGCAAACATGAGTGCTGAGCTCTCAAGCTTGGTGAGGAGCTGGAGAGCCTACCATGTGCTTGGCCAGCAGTGTGGAGAGGGAGCCTCTCTCTGGTGGGAGAGGCACACTGGCAGCTGTGACATCTGCCAGCAGGATGCTTTGGGTGCTCATGCAATCCCACCTGGTGTGTTAAAACTTGAGAGGCATTTTTGGTAGCACCCAGAGCAGGGTGGAGGCTGAGCTGGAGAGGAGGATGGTCCCAGGGGTGTCAAGGACCAGGCGAGCAGCCTGTGGGGCAGTACCTGGGAAGGTGTTCAGTGGGAGATGTGCATCGGTGTGGTGCCCGCTGCACACCAGCACGGCGTCAAAGACAGCAGCCTCCTGCTTCCCCTCGCTCTCCGTCACCACCTCCCACTGGCCCGTGGTGGCAAAGTCAGGGCGCTTGGACACGCGGCACACGCTGGTCTGGGTGCAGGGGGAGTGGGCGTCAGGCACCCTGCGCCCCCTGGCCCCGCTGCCACCCCCCCCTTGGCCCCCCAGCTCTCACCCTGAAGCGGATGTGGCGGAGCAGGTCGAAGCGCTGGGCGTACATGCGGAAGTACTCCATGATCTTGGAGTTGTGCATGTAGTTGGGGAAGTCCTCGGGGATGGGGAAGTCGCTGAAGCACATCATCTCCTTGGAGGTGTTGATGATGACAGAGCGGTAGATGCTGGCACGGCCGTCCTCGGGATTCTCCTGTAGGAGTGGGTCACGGCTCAGCACTGGCCAGGAACTGCAGGGCCACCCGCCTGCCCTGCCTGGCACATCTCCATGCCTGTGAATGCTGAATTAGGCCACAGGTGATCATAGCACCCATCCCTGCACTCTCCCATCAGGGAGACCACCTGCCTCAAAAAATGGGGAAGAGGAAGCTCTGGGTTTGTGACAACCAGGCAGTAGTGACAGCATGTCGTGGTGGTCTCGTGCCTCAGCTTCCCCACTCCCACTCGTTTCCCCTGTGAGGTGGTGCATTCCTGAAGCTGCCTGTGGTGTCACTGCGGCAGCTGCCACATCAGGTCTCACTGGTTGTGGAGCCAGCTCCAGTGCTCCCTGCTGAGTGGCTGCTCCTGCTTGACAGGTCTGTGCCTTAGCAGCTGGATGCTGCTTCCCTGGCTTCGCTGTACCAGTCCCATTCCTGACCCATCATGGGCAGGACCAGCAGGCTGTGACTGAGCCACTCCCAACCCCACACTGGTGTGGTGCCCATGTCTGTCCCCCCGGCCTCTCCCACCCATATAACAGGGCATGGTGGGAGCACTGGTATTCTTGTTGGTGGGTCCATGGGGGAAAAGTCAGCAGCCTTATTAGGTGGGTGCAGAAACAAGCTCCCAGGTTTCCCCTGAGCCAAGGCACAGAGGAGGCAGCACTTGGTGCCTCTGCGTGGGTGAGCAGCACAGGAGCAGGGAGGGGAGCAACAGTGATTCCAGGGAAGGGCTGGAAAAGACAGAAACTGGGACAGACAGTGGGGTCAGATAGGACAAGGATATGTGGGAAAGGGCTGGAGGGGACCAAGAGCAAATCAGCAGAGCAAGGGGTGGATGAGACCAGGAAGGGAAGGATGGGAAAGAGGAAAGCTGAGCTGGGGGGAGTAAGCCCTGGGGTGAGGTCCTTGGAGAGGGTCCGTGCTGCTGCTGGTGGGAAGGAGATGAGTCCCATCTGCCCAGCACACCATCTGGCACCACGGGGACCTTTTGCTGCCAAGCCGTTTTACTTTCCTGTCGTTTAGCTTGTAAACCTGCCTGGCACACGCTTACAAAGCAGGGGAGTGGTGCTTTGTTATCTGCCAAGAACCGATCCCAATCCTAACTGTGCTGCTGCCATGGGGCAGGCTGGCACGCATGGGGCTTACCTCGAAGCGCCAGAGGCCCCCGATGTCCTTGCTCCTCTCAAAGCAGGTGGGCTCCAGCCCCTCATCCAGGCAGCATTTCAGGGCACACAGGCCAGAGGCACCGGCACCAATGATGGCTACTCTCTGGGGAGCCATGTCCCGCATTCTGGTGTTGGCAGGGATTCCGGAGAAGCTGTGGCACTGAGCGGGTTGCAGAGCCTGGCGGGCTACACCAGGAAGGGCGCTCAGTTTGGGAGTGAGTGTCCCTGTGCTTCCTGTGGGTGGCCAAGGGCAGCTAGGGTTTCATAAGATGTGTTTTTTCTAGACACGATCTACAGGTTCCCCCCACCACTCTGCCACTCCCCCTATCTGTGCCTGCCCTCCACAGGAGGCTCATTGGATTCTGTAAGCACTTGATGATGCTGGCACTGCCCCGGGACTCGGTGGGCAGGGCAGAGATGTGGCTGTGCTCCAGATTTCAGCAGGTTGTGGCATGGAAAACAAACTAGGAGGATGCTCAGGTGGTTGGCAGTCATGCCAGCCCAGGTGTGTGGTGGCCAAGACTCCTGTCACCACTCTGGGTGGCCGTCCCACCCAGCCATCTTCTGGAGGGGCTGCGTGCAGGTGATGAAGGTGGCATTGAACTGTGCTACTGTGACCCCTGGGACCTGCTCCTACATCACACACCCTGAGCGAGGCTGTCTTGCTGTGGATACACACAGGTGTGTACATGTGTACTGCTGTGGGCCAGTGACACAAGGATGACCTCACACCCATTAGCATTCCCTGGCACACAGTGGGTCATGATGTTGTCAGTAACACGACAATGCTTGGCTGTTCAATGCTTTCCTGTGAGTGTGTCAGCAGTGGCACAGCTGGGTTACAGGGGACAGAAAAGCCCAGAGCGCTGGCTGAGAGGGACTGGATTTTACCCCACATATGAGCAGGTTTCTTTCTCTGTCCCTGGCAGCAGCTCCACAGAGAGAGGCACAGCACAGGGGTCCAATCTTTATTTTGGCAGCTGGGGAGGTTCTGTGCATCCCGAGTTCATGGTGTGGTCACAGTGGGGCCGTACTAGGCAGGGGTTTCTGCCAGCACTGGGGTGCACAGACTGCTATGGGGCAGGGGTGGCCGGCCAGCCCCTTGGCACATTGCAAACCGTGCCCTCTCATGCTTGCAGGGCACCTAAAAGTAAGCAAAAACAGCAGCGAGGATGGCCACGGCCCCGACCACCTTGAAGATGAGGGGCACAGCGAGGGCCGAGGGACGTTCCTCCACGTGCCGCGTCTGCAGGGGCTTGATGATGCGCTGCTGCTGGGTCAGGATGGCCTCCCTGGCACCCGCCCACGCACCTGGGCCCCGCAGCCGGTACTGGTACGGCGTGCAGGGACCGAAGGCCACCTCCAGAGCCAGCTTGGGGTCCGTGAGGAAGAGGGTGAGCAGGTTGGGCTTGACCCCCAGCTGGCAGGCAAGCTCGTCCATGTAGGGGATGTAATCCACCTGGATGGTGTGCCGCTGGCTCTTCACGTACCTGTGGGCAGGGAGGAAGGGCAGGTGCTGGCAGCAGTACTGGCAGATGCCCTGCGCACCAGCAAGGCAGTATTGGATGGATCACCATGGGGAAGGATTACTGGGCTGAGGGTAGTGTGGCAAATCATATCCCTGACATCTGTTGGCATGAACAAATGTGCCGGGATGCAGCCATGGGACAGGACAGGTGCCCACGGGCAGCTGTGCCCACAGCAGCCCCCTCCCTGTTCCTGTGGGGATCTTACCGCTTTGCCATCGCTTCTTTCTTCTGTTTGATGTCAGCCTCCATGTCGTGCCGCGGGGGCAGCTCGTTCAGACCTAGGGAGGATGAGCCACAGCATGGGGAGGCTGCACCCTGCTGGCCACGGTGGCCACTCTGGTGCTGCCCTTGCCTGGGTGCTGTGCCCCTGCCGGCACCACCATGGCCGGTGGTCTGGCACCTGAGGCTTTTCTGAGCTCCTCAGGATGGGAAGGAGCAGCCCATGGAACACAGGGTATGGATGTCTCTGTGCCTGTCAGGCAAGAGCCCATCTCACCGTGAGGGCTGCAAGCCAGGATGCCACAGCCTCCCTGACATGGCTGGCACCATCTGCCCCTGCTCCAGGGCTTCAGGCTCAGGCTGCAGCCACGGGGCAGGTTTGCCTCACTTACCCTTGAAGATGCGAGTGGCCCAGCGACACTGGAGCTCGGAGATGGGCATGATGGCACCCAGGGGCTGGATGAAGCCGATGAAAGCCAGCGTTGGCTTCTCCAGGTCAGGGGGGAACATGAATTTGTAGAGGGGGATCTGGTTCTCCACCACCTTCACAAAGCCCTCAAGGAATGGGAAGGAGAAGCTGTATCCTGTGGCAAAAACTACGACATCAATGTCTTCCCTGGTGCCATCCTCGAAGATGGCAGATGTCTCCGTGAACTCCTGGATATTTGGCTTCACCCGCACCCTGCCTGAAATGATGCGGTTGGGCAGGTCATCGTTGATGGTTGGATGCTGGTGAAGGACCCTGGAAGGTACAAGGAGCCATTAGGGCACTGGGGAGGGAGTGTCTCTGTTCTGTGTCCTGCTCTGGGGATGCTCATCCCCAGGGATGCTCATTGTCAAAAGGCTGGTCCCCCAGAGATGCTGAGCGGCTGCCCCTGCACTGGTGCCACCAAGGGTCCCTGGAAGGGGCAGTGGTGGTTCCCTTGAGCATTTCTTGGGCACAACACAGCTATTAACCTGGTTTCCAGACATAGGGAGCATGGAATGGTAAAGTGACGCTGGACACAGAGGGAGGTGGTGGGTCCCTCCTGGGCAGGGGGAGTGTTTGCTGATACCTGTGCTTTGGCTTCAGGCCGTAATGCGTGTGGTCAAACCTGGCGTTCAGCTTCTTCTCCATGTAGTCACACGCCAGGGACGGGCTGAGCAGCTCCTGCAGGAATACCTTCATGCGGGTGGTTAAGATGGTGTCAATGGGGTAGCCCTGATCTCCAACGCGGTTGAGGATCCATGCACCCCGGCGGGTGCTGAGGAAGACCTGGACAAGAAAGAAGCATCACCTCCTGAAGGCAGTGATGGTCCTGGGGGGCTGCCCCAGGGGGGACATGTCCTTGCCCTGGGATCACTCTGTGCTGCCACACTGGGCAAAGACTCAGAGGGCAGAGGGAGCTGGTGATTGGCATCTAGCAGGGAGAGGTAGGGAAGTGCCACAGGGGCACCCTCAGCCTGGGGCTCAGGGAAAAAAATTGGTGTCTGTGTGGGACTGACTTTCAACTGCCACCACTGCCTGGTGGCTGAGACTGGCGGGTGCCAGCATGGCCAAATACAGTGAGTGCTGGGATGGAGGAGTGGCTGTGCAAGTGCCTTGGTCCTGGTGTCCTTGTGGAGCCAACAGTGTCCCAAGGGGGGCTGCCCTGCCCACCAAGACCCTACTCCCGCTTCTCACCTGCTTGGCCATTTGGCTGATCTCCACAGCCAGGTCTGACCCTGAATTCCCAATCCCGATAACAACGACCCTCTTGTCCCTGAAATCCTGAGGGTCCTTGTAGTCTCGGCTGTGGAGGTAGTGGCCGTTGAACTTCTCGATTCCTGTGAGCAGGGAGAAGATATGCCTGGCTTCCTCGTGCCAGGCTGGAGGATCACCCCCACAAAGACTGAAGTGGAGATGCTCCCTCACCCCACCAAAGCACTCCTGGGGAGCATGGGAACACTCCTGGAGTCAAAGCAAGGCAGGGAAATGCTAGGGCTGAGAGGAAAAGCAGCAAGGAGAGTAGGGACTGGCATGGCCAAGCTTTCTGTGGTGTCTCTTCATTCAGTGCAGGGCAGTACCTGGGAAGGTGTTCAGTGGGAGATGTGCATCGGTGTGGTGCCCTGTACACACCAGCACGGCGTCAAAGACAGCAGCCTCCTGCTTCCCCTCGCTCTCCGTCACCACCTCCCACTGGCCCGTGGTGGCAAAGTCAGGGCGCTTGGACACGCGGCACACGCTGGTCTGGGTGCAGGGGGAGTGGGCGTCAGGCACCCTGCGCCCCCTGGCCCCGCTGCCACCCCCCCCTTGGCCCCCCAGCTCTCACCCTGAAGCGGATGTGGCGGAGCAGGTCGAAGCGCTGGGCGTACATGCGGAAGTACTCCATGATCTTGGAGTTGTGCATGTAGTTGGGGAAGTCCTCGGGGATGGGGAAGTCGCTGAAGCACATCATCTCCTTGGAGGTGTTGATGATGACAGAGCGGTAGATGCTGGCACGGCCGTCCTCGGGGTTCTCCTGTAGGAGTGGGTCATGGGTTATGGCTCAGCACTGGCCAGGGGATCGATGGGGAGGGGTGGCCAGATTTTGCTGCTCCTTTACATGGAGACCCTGCCCTCAGCCTCATCCAGAGGACCCCACTGTGGCGGGCTGCATGCCACCCCACCAGACACCACGGATCCCTGGGGGCCACTGTGCTGACACATGGCCGGCAGGGTTTACCTCAAACCTCCAGAGGCCTCCGATGTCCCGGCTCCTCTCGAAGCAGACGGGCTCCAGCCCCTCCTGCAGGCAGGCTTTGATGGCACACAGCCCGCTGCTGCCCCCGCCGATGATGGCCACCCTCTTTGCCATGTTGGACTTCACCACTGGATCTCTGCCTGGGGACAGCATGGGAAAGTGGGGCTGGGAGGTGCAACTGTGCAGACTTTTGGCCCTGTGCACCAAAGAGACCCCAAGTTGAGAGGAAGCCCCCCCGAAATTTGCCTGGGGTTTTGAAGCAACTGCTATTCCCCCCCAAGTGGGGACTGGCCACTGCTGGGTTTTGTACTATTGTGGTGTTGCCTGTGGATGCCCTGGGGAGAAATGCTACCGTGCCAGGCAGCCTGAAAATGTCCCCACCCATGCTAAGTCCCAGCGATGGAGGTACACCAGAATGCCGTGCCCCATCTCCATCCATCATGGAGACCGACGGCTCCTTCCCAAGTGGGTGACAGCCCCTCTGCCTTGCCCTTCGCCCTCTTCCTTCCCCGAGGTGATGCCCGTCGTGCTGTCCCGGTGCCCACTGCGTGCTGACAGCCCGGGGAACACCCTCAACGGGGACACCCTCAACCGGGACACCCTCCACCGACCTGCGGCTGGGGGAGCAGCAGCCCCGGGAAGGCGGGCGGCAGGCGGGGAGCCCCTCGGGGGTCTCTGCCGGGTTGCCCCGAGCCGTGGGGCCGGACCGCGGCCTGGCTTTGTGGTGCGCAGCGGCCGTAAGCGGAGCCTCCCCCTCCGTCACTCCTCCCACGGCTACAGGGGAAGGAAGCCAGGAGCCGGCTGGCTCCCGGCCGTCTGCTCTGCTTTTCCGGGAGCGGCTGTCGCTACAGCCTCGACAGCGGGGTAAGGAGCCGTCCCGGGCACCGTGCGGGAACACAGACACGCAGCCGATCCCCGTGGCGTACGTGCTGAGTGAACAAAACGCTGCCCTGAACTTTTACCTCTGGGATTATATGGATCAGCCTAACCCTGTTTATCCTGGTAGCCGGAGGCACGCGCGGCTCTATCAGCTCCAGAGACACCCGGCAGCGCATCGCCCACTCCCCCTGTGCCCCTGGGCTGGGCGTGTCGGCACAGTGTCCCTATAGCCGCGGCTCACTCGTGGGCTGCCCGAGACCTGGGGCCAGCGGGACCCTGGTGCGAGGAGCACCACACTGTCAGGGTGTCACTGGTGCCAGGGTGGTGGGACCAGTTAGGGAAAGGCTCTCCCCGACAGCAGGAGGCACAGACCATGTGGATCCAGAGCTTGCTGTTGGCTCCTGGCACACTCAGCCAGACAGCTCTTGGGGACTGCAGGGGAAATTGCTCTCCCATGTCCAGGGAACTTCGCCCCAGAGGTGAGCAAGGCACAGGGCTGCAGAGGGGTCAAGATCTGCAGCTGAAATGGCTTTAATCTTCTAAGCCTCACAGTATGTCTGCAGTAAGTTTAATAAAGCTCTTTCTGTACCTTGCTGTTGGCAAGGGCTGATCTCTGCCCTGGGCAGAGGTGCTGAGCTGCCAACTCGCACTCTGCCTGCCTGTCAAAAAGCATCAAAAGCATCTTACCAGGCAGGGGGATCAGCACGGGTACAGCAGTGTGGCAGCACTGGCAGTACTACTCTCCCTGCTCTGCTCTCAGCTGGCTTCTGGCTCTTCTGCAAGCTCTGCACAGATTGCCCAAGGGTGATAAGTACAGGAGACCTCTGAACTCTCAACCTCACTGCTGTCCTATTAAATCTTTGTGCAGGTTGCCTCTAAACTTGCTCTTCTCCCTACAGGAGTTTGCACTGCTCTGGACTTTGCCGTGCTGTGCTTGGGCTCATGCCATGGCATTTTGGTCAAGACCAGCTGGTTGATGAAATGCACCCTGTGTTTGGGAAGGAGCAGAGGTGTTTTGGCACATCTCAACAAGCTCCGATCACCTCAAACTCTACCTACACTGCAGTGTGCCACCTGTCTGTGCCCCTGCAGCCACCACAGGGCTCGTCTCTGCCTTGGGGCAAGAGGGCTGGCCGGGGTGTCCAGGTGCTGCCATGCACATGCTGAACTGGCCCAGCCGGCTGCCAGGCATGCAGTGCAACCCAGGGGATTATTTTTTTGGTCACTGGAGCACAAACCCACATCTGGTAGTTTTACTGGCTCACCCTGGCAGTGGGTCAGGGCTCAGCTCTGGGGGAACTCTGTCAAGCACTTTCATTTTGGCCCCTGCATAACTGACAGTGGGTGACAGACAGTAACAGGGTGCTTGTGCCTTTGGCCCTCAGGCTGCTCCTGCACAGTTCACCCAGGGGAACAGCACACTTAAACACTGCCTGGTCTTAATATGAGTTAATTGGTGCTTTCCAGAGCCTGAGTGCATCAAGAGACCTCAATGACCACAAGGAGCCTCAGCTGGACCCAATCACCCCACCCACATGCCAGGAGTGCTGTTTAAGCTCATTATTTAAGCTTAGTCTAGAGCCTTCACTCCCTGCTGGGCTCTGGTTCTTCTGCTTTTCTGGCTCAATCTCAACCCCAGCTCATTACAGAGGCTCCTTGTGGTCCCCTCCTGCCAAGGATAAGCAGCCCTCTGTGAAAAACAGACCAATGGTGCCAGGGCAGGTGGTGGTTGTCAGAGCCTCTTGCTTACCTGCAAGAGGTGCAGGTAAGGCTCAGACCTGAGGCTGCCCTGCAGCCTGGGAGAGGGTATATTGCTGGGCTGTGAGGAAGGGGCTGGTTCTCCAGAATGCTATCTGCAGCCTGGGAACATGCTGACCACCAGGAATTGCTAGGAATGCACTGTACCCCCTGGGAAACTGAAAATCCTATGGAGGGGAAGAGGAGCAGGGAAGCTCTGCACAAGGGCTTCAGGAATAGGCTGCGGTTGGGAGCTGCTTCCCCTGTTACCCACTGGATGGACCAACCCTTCAGTCCCACTATCCTTTCCCCATGGGACTGGGGGCCAGGTGCCTGTGTCCTCATTGCTCAATATCTGACCTCAGTGCAGTACTTAAATTGAGAGCAGAAAGGAAGAGATTGTTTAGAAAGGCAGAGCTATTTATAACCCTGAGGAGAGACCCCCACAAGCCCCTCCAGACAGGTGTTATAGAGCAGGCTGCACAGGATATGCTTATGACAGCAGCATGATCAGTGTATTTATAGAATACAGATACATGGGTGATTGTAGACAAACCTCTGCAAAGTCACAGCTACCACATACACCATGGGCTATTGCAAGTGACCAGCAAGAGCATGCAGATTCACAGTATCATCAGCAAGCTGCCGGATGAAATGTGCTGAGCTCTCCCCAGGCTCTGCAGAGACTGTTTTTTTTCTGTCACAGAACAGTCAGTGCAGCTGTTTGGCCAGTGCAGACCCTGCCTGACACAAGACCAGGAGGGCAAGACAGCACCAAACATCCAAGTGCAGACCAGGAGCCTGCAGCACCGCTCGGGTGCAAGTCTTGGCCAGACTGATGGGGTTGAGGGTGCGAGTTCAAGTCCCAGTATCCCCTCCCTTGTGCGTGCACGCCCCTCCTTTGTGAGGAGCCCGTCTGTCAGTGGTCCCAGAGCGCGAAGAGGGCGGGTGCGTTGAGTGGGGACAGCCAGCAGTGCTCCACCACGCTGTACAGGGCGTAGCCCAGCACCAGCCCGAACAGCACGTCCGTCATGTTGTGCCTGCCCAGCATCACCCTGGAGATGCTGACGATGAGGGCCCAGAGCACCACGAGGACGCGCAGCGGGACAGCGAGCACCAGGTGCCGCAGGACGAAGCGGCAGACCAGGGCGGCGCGGGTGGCGTGACCCGAGGGGAAGGAGTACTTGTCCACTGAGATGGTGACGAACATGTCCATCTTGTTGTGGGTGGGCCGTGGCCGCTTCACCAGCCCCTTCACCATGGCCACCATTACCAGGTCCAGCAGCAATGCTAGGAGAGACAGGAGCAGTGGGTTACTGAAAGCACAGCTGTTACCTATGAAAGAGCTTGGCTGCCCAGACCTGCTAAGAGAAGGCATTGTTTCCCATGGCTGCAACACCCAGGCAGGGAGAGCACAGCACTCGTCTGCACTTGGCCTTCTGCAGCATGACCACGTCCTCAACCTCTGCTCCCTCGTGCACCACCAGACCATCTGCCTGCCACAGCCCAACAGGGCTCTGCCAGGGCTTTTGTGTAAAATCTGATCTCACTGTGACTCTGGGCTCAACCTGCCCCATAACCTGAAGGCAGCAGAGGGACAACTCCCTTCCTGGCAGTGCTGACTCAGCATTGTTCTGCCTGCCCTGGTGACTGGAGTTCAAACCTACCGGGTGAATGATCAACCTGCTCCAAGCACTCAGCCACAGCTCAGTGTGAGGGGCTCTGAGCTGGTGTGGTGCCAAGGGTCCTGGAGTCTGGCTTCTCCCTGCTGCTGGAGGGAAAGCTAACTGTGCTTTGGTTTTCAAGAGATGACTAAAGGATGATTTATGTAACAGTGGCTTGCCCCTGAGAGGTAAAGGCTGTTCTGGTAGAAGATGCAAAGTACCTGTGAGAAGTGTTCAGCCAGTATTTGGCAAGAGCAGCTTCTCGTGCAGGTCAGAGGGTACTTTCTCTACCCCTCTGAGTTCTGCTTAGCCCTCACAGCCAGGGAAGTCATGTAAGAGACCAGCTTCTGCTGCTAAGGCTTGTTTCTGGACACCAAACCTTTTGGTCACTTCAGTTCATTTCCTTTGGTTAATCATTTCAGAATAAATATTTTTTTTTTCCTACATGTAAACCTAGATCAATGACTTTTTCCTCTTTTTACATAGGATTTGGGAGATTCAGCTTGGACACAAGGGAACCCTCCTTCCCCACACAGGTGCTGTAGTCCTGGCTACAGGCCCCCAGAGAGGTGGGTGGCTCTGGCCCAGAGTAGTGAGGGCTGGACAAGGCTCTGGTATGGGGACAGATCTCCTTGGAGAAGTTAGGCTGGAGGCCTCCCGGTCCTTTCTCACAGCTCTGCTGTGGGACTGTAATTTAACCATGTGCTGCTAGATGAGAAAGATGCACAAACCTATGTACTTCCCACCAGGCAATTTCAATTCAGATTCTAAGTGTGAGATACTAATTACCTGCAACTTAATACAAGAGTAAGGACCTGAAAAGGTCTAGTGCTCTGGAGCTACTACAGTTTCTAAATGAGCAGAAATGAAGACTCTGTACCTAGGATACTGTGTGTGTGTGAGTGTGAAATATTACACAATGCAAGATTAAAATGCGTGCATTAAACCAAATTTCCTCACTGGCTGATACACATCAATCCACAAAGGCACTGTCTAGGCAGGGAGCCAGGGGTGCAGATGTCTGTGTGCCAGAGTAGCTTTTCAGGGAATGGGCTGGTGTCTCAACACTAGAAAGCTGCACCTAGAATGCAATGTTCTGATAAACTTGAAGAGCTAAAATATTTCATTCATCACCCTGAGAGCTTTGTGCAACTGCAGGAGCAGTGCAGCTGTCGGGAGCTTCGCAGTGCGTGGTGGGAACTCTTGACAGGTGAGCCCTACCCGTGTCACCACGTTTCCAGGGCTGCTGCCTCTAGTGCCAGGCACCCCACATGGGTCTGCACGGGCCGCTCAAAATCAGGTGCCCTCGGGGCTGTGGTTCACCAGCTCTGCGCCATTCGTTGTGTCCCACCCTCCCCGCTCGGCTCCATCAGCCCCCGGGCGAGCCCCGCGCCTCACCGAAGAGCAGGTTGAGCAGCACCTCCCTGGCCGCCGAGCTGTCACTCTGGCAGAGCCCGTAGAAGGTGCCGAGCAGCCAGGGGATGCCGTGCCCCGACACCTCGATGACCTTCATGAGCGGGCGGGCGCTGCCCCAGGCCGAGCCCTCCCCGGCGCACACGCCCAGGCGCTTGGAGGCCCAGAGGTCGATAGCGAGCAGGGAGCTGAGCGCGATGCCCACGAAGGACGGGTTCAGCTTCATGCAGTCCTCCTCCGGCAGCGGCGCGGCCGCCTGGGGCTCCCTGCGGCGGGAGGGGCTGTCGGGGGCGGCGGGGCCGCGCTGGCTCAGCGACAGGAACTCCAGCCGGCCGCCGCTGCCGCCCGCGCGGC